ACCTGACTATGCCCCGAATTTATTTGCTTTAATCAGTACTTTCAAGTTTTCTTTATGAATGTAATAAAAAACAACTTTAATTTGTGTTCAAGAGTAGGAGAACTCTGTACTGAAAGCAATGTAATTAAAGGTTGTAGGTATTGAAAATTTTCCGTTTGGTCCAAAAATGGTCTAAGTTGTAAAAGATTAATTTGAGCCAAAATCAACTTTTATTAAAACTTTTCAAAATCATTTCCGATATGGATCACAACTGGACATGCCCGAGATCTATCACTAAGATGTACAACCCCGGATCCCAGCAACTGGAAAGTTGCCCCTAGTCTGAATAGCACTGCACTGGAGATCACAACCGAGCTCTTGAATGCAGAATAGACAAAGATGACCAACAAGATCACATGGACAAAGTTGATCGGGGAAGTGTTTACGGCTGGACTTCAGAATGAAGTTGCCTACGTATCCCAAAGATGGGAATCAAGCCTTACGTATTTCGGCTCGGGTTCACTCGTGTATTAACACTCTCCTTTTGTGCTCTAACTTTGGCCAAGGCCGCCCTTTCTGGGTTTTCAACCTTGTGAGCTTAGTTTTTATTATTTCAAATTTTTCATGCTCTAACTTTTGCCTAGGTCGCCTTTCGGGTTTTCGGCCTAGCAAGCCACTCAAGGAAAGTATTTCTTCAACTTTTCCATGTTGATCGGCAGGGAGAACTCTAGGCCATCTAGCAGGGACGGAACCAGGATTTCTTTTTTGGGGGGACCAAAATATTTTTTTTTATTTAAATTTTATATCAATTGATATAAACAATTCTATTTCAATTAAAGAATGAAAAATAAATTAATATTTAATACTAAATTAATACGTAAAAAATAAAATAAGTTTCTATTTGAACAAAAGAATACAATTTGTTAAAAAAATCATCATCCATTTTGTTACAACACGTAATTTTAACAATTTTCTTCATAATTATAGTAGTAATTGAAAGAGTAAACACAAATGCAATACTTTGCAAACAAGTGGATAGATTGTTTCATTTTTTAGTCCTTCTCAACCATTGACGGAAAATTTTTGAAATCTCTTTAGTTCTCAATTGTATTTTCTTATGATCCGTGAAGTTTTGAAGATAAAACTTGTCTGTAATCAACTCTCTTTCACTTTAAATTTTTTATTTAGTCTTTTTTTTTATTCTAATAAAATTTGATCTACATTTTTTGTATAACAATAATATTCATGTTCATAATAGGCAATGTCATGGAAAGAATGACTCAAATTTATTTGTGAGATGTCAAGCCGTTGAAAAATTTGTCATATAAATGAGGCTAGTAATCTTCCTTTTGGTTATTCCAAATCGTAATGAACAATCTGCACTTATTTGAGAATTTCTCTTTTTCGTATGTGTGATGTGAGTTATCTAATTTTTCACGTAATAATTTACACATGCATCCACATAGTGTGGAATAACATTTCTCTTTTTATATCCTTATGTTTTGGTTCATTGATTTGGAAAGAGAAATAAAAAAAAATAGATAAATAAATGAAATATAATTATATTTCACTTACATTGTACACAATTTTTCTCTTTTTCTTTTCAAATTTATAAACCAAATACAACTTAAAAATATGCTCAGTATAAATTATATTATGAATCTTGTAAGAAACAATCAAATACACAATTGTTTCCTTGTTAATAGAATAACGTGGGCAGTCAAAAAAGGAAGGGACATATCTATTCAAAGCATAGAGGCCACATTTAATAAAAAATGTATTTTAACTTTCAAACAACTAACCTTAGCAGTGGCACTCTCTAGACAGGCGGGGGGACCATGGCCCCTCATGGTCTCTGCACAGGTCCGTCCCTGTCCTACTTCTCCTTCTGCTGCTGCCTTTTCTTCTATTATTTCAAGGTCATTCACAAATTTGGTCGCACGATTTTCATTATCCGAAGACTCCATGAGCACTAGCGTTAATCTATGCGCAAAACAAATCACTTTTGTATGGGAATTATGGAAGAGTTTGATAAAGGTGGTGTCACTACAAGAAAAAGCACTTTTTAGTTGCCAAAAGTCCATTTTTAGTCGTCAAAAGTCGACTTTTTAATTTTCCCGACTAAATTTTTTAGTCATCGGTTTTGTCGCGAACACATGGTCGGCGGAGGTATTGGTGACTAAAAAAGTTTTAGTCGGCAAAAAATAGGTCTTTAGCGATCAAAGTTTTGGTCGCTAATAGTCAATTACACTTTTTAAAATTATACATTTACCAACTAATCTTTTCGTCGCCAATAGTCAATGAATCGCCAACCAAACCTTTTAGTCGCCAAAGCTCATTCCGTGACAAAAAAAAAATAAAAACTTTTTTTCTGTTGAGATTCGAACCACCAACCTGCCACATTCTAAACCTTAAGCAGCACACTCTCTCAACTATGTCTCTACAACACCACATGATTATATATGCAACATTTATTATTTATATAGTATATTGACCCATATTAATATAAAACTATATATATAAACATAATTATTTTTATTCAATATAATTTATGTAAAAAAAAAATTATTTACTAAAAAAAATAGGAGACCACTTTTGGCGACTAAATCTGTTTTTTAGTCGCAAATTCTATACTTTTGGCTACTAATTATTTTTTTAGTCGCTAAAAGAATTAATTCCCGCCTAAAACCTCCACTTTTGGCGACTAAATTGAATTTTAGTCGCCAATTGTAGACTTTTAGCTACTAATTTTTTTTTAGTAGCCAAAAAGCTTCACTTTTGACTACAAAATTTAATTTTGTCAGTAAAACACGTATAATCGGCGACCAAACTATTTTTTAGTCGCCAAAACCTATACTTTTGGCTACTAAACTTTTTTAGTCGCCAAAAACCTTCACTTTTGGCTACTAAATTTTTTTAGTTGCTAAAACCCATATAATCGGCGACTAAACTAATTTTTAGTCGCCAATAACTATACATTTGGCTACTAAACTGTTTTAGTCGCCAATTCAATAACTATACATTTGGCTACTAAATTGTTTTAGTCGCCAAAAGTCTTCACTTTTGGCTACTAATTCCATTTTAGTCGCCAATTCTGCTACTTTCAGCGATGAAAATTGTATTTTTAGTCGCCAATTCTACTTTTTCTTGTAGTGTGTTTGGCAACCCGTTAGTGAGGCTATTGTAGTTTGTTTCACGAAAAAAGCTAAGCTTTTGTTTTGGATATGGGTTAATTTTTTGATTTTTAAATTTTTTTTTTTTTACTATTTTAATCTAGGATTAAAAAGTGTTTGGAATAAATTTTTTAATTTTTTTTAATTTTGTGAGAAAAAAATAAAATAATTATAATTTAAATATAATATTTTATTTTATTAAATTAAAAATATATTTTATCTTTTTATGATTATTTCCAGTCATGAAAAGGATGTCAAACATAACCTCATTAGTCTCAGTGTAGCTGGAGGCTGCAAAGAAGCTGTCCAGCTGGATGTCATTTAGAGGGTGAAAAGATTATTTTACCTTTTGTCCTTGAGAGGGTGAAACGATTAATTTACCCTTTGTCCATCTATTTTTTCAAATTAACATGTATTTTTTTTCATTTATTACCGACCAAAAATTGTGTAATATATTTGTAACACTAGTCAATAAAGGCTGGCGGTGGCAGTGCCAGTGACACGCCCATTTATTTTTCAACTAACATGTACTTTTTTTTCATTTATTACAAATTAAAAATTGTGTAATATATTTGTAACACTAGTTAACAAAGGTGGGTGGTGGGAGTGTCACGCTGCCACGTCCATTTATTTTTCAAAATAACGAGTACTTTTTTCAGTTATTACAAATTGTCCTCACTGCCACGTTCATTTATTTTTCAAACTACCATGTACTCTTTTCATTTATTACAAACTGTCCTCACCAAAGATTGTGTAATATATTTGTAACACAAGTCAACAAAGGCTGTCCTCACAGCCACGTCCATTTATTTTTCAAACCAACATTTACTTTTTTTTCATTTATTACAAACCAAAAATTGTGTAATATATTTGTAACACTACCTTTTTATTTTATTATTTTTGATACGAGTATTTTGATCATTTTACATAATACCATCATTTTAAACATATTTTTTATTATAACAATTTAAATAAACATTTATTCTATCTTTTCTAATACAAAAACTAAAATAACTTATCAAAATTGCCAAATAGTCGAAAAATCTAAAAAATAGTCATTTTCCAAACACTTATATGGAGCAAAGGAAGAATTGTTGCTGTTAGTTGTTTGCTAGGCCAGAATATAATAATACGGGCTGTGATAGAGAACTCTTAAAATAGAGCTTTTACTAAGTTGGTATTGTGGAAAAAAAAAAAAAGTCAAAACATCACATCATAAGTGGGTCCTATTCCATTAGAGCTTTCTTTTTAGAACTCCAAAACATTTTTGCTACATTGCCCTTAAGGTGAAGAAACCACGAGACTAACCTATAATTTTATAATATTAAAAAAGGTATTCGGTCTAAAAATCTAAATTTTAATTTTGTTTGTCTAAAGATTCAGAAATGTTAAAATACTTTATTTAAAAGGATAAATTCAAGCAAAATGACCAAGATACATTTTATAAATATGTCATATATACGGTTCAACCCAAACAAATCACTTGACTTTTATTGACTATGTGTATGTTATATATACTAGCGGATGGCACGCAATGCGTGTGCAATTCATATAATTAATAATAAAAAATTTAATATCATAATATATATGTTACTTAAATAATAATTATGTCCTTAATAAAACTTAAGGTTTTAGGTTCAAAACTTGCTTACACTTATATAAAACACTACAGGAAAAAAGGGTTATGGTGGCGTTTTTTTAACGACGTTTTTTTAAACGTCACTGTTATTAACATTTAACGGCGTTTTATAAACGCCGCATATTCTAATTATACTTCAATTGAAATGAAACTAAAACACTTGTGTGTTATTTTCTGCTTAATGGCTGTCTTTGTAATAATGTGATCAGATCCATAGTTGGAGGATATGGGAAGTTGAGGCTTATTTGGAACAGCATGAATTATTAACTGGTAAGATCTAATGCTTGATATAATTTACATGATTCTCAACATTTTCTAGAGCCCTATATATATTCTAGCCTTGTTCTGGTGGACGGGTACAGTTCTGCTGATTTGCTGGTTTTGTTCTGCTGCTGATATTATGTAACTCTACTCTGCTGCTGATTTTCTGGTTTTGTTCTGGGTTTGTTTCTACTGCTAGTTTTGTTCTGGTATGTCTGGTTTGGTGTTTGGTGATTTCTCTTGTTTGAAGTAAGCTGCTTGTTTGGAGTTTGGTGATTTCCCTTCTAGCCTGCTGTGGAGTCTACTGCTGCGGAGTCTGCTGTGGAGTCTGAATCATTCCCTTCTTTTCTGCCTATTTGTTTGGAAACTTTGGTCATGTATAATTCTTTGGTGGGGGTTGAAGAAAGGTCAAGTTTGGTGGTTGGGGATTCAGAGTTGGGAATTGCAGTTGGGATTTTCATGAGAAGATGTGGAGTGCTGGTTTTGTGGCTGTTTGCCAGACAATTACACTTTTTTTCCCACCTGCAGGGGGGTGGGTAGGGATTTTAGTTTCAACCTATTTTTGATGCATTTCCACTTGAAAGTTTGTTTCTCAAATTTGCATCAGAAATAGTTTTTGGAAAAAAAATTTCAATTCTCTCCTCATTTCATGCTCTTTCATAATGCATCACAAGTTGCTTACAATTGAGAAAGAAATTTGACATTTTGAGAAACAATTGAGAAAAAAAGTTTCAATTATTTGGTAGCTATTTATTATCGTTTTGCTTTTCAATCTCCCATTTATCTTAATTGCTGATGTGGCAGGGAAGGATAATCAACATAGCATCAATTGTTGGTCTTGTTGGTAACATTGGGCAAACCAATTGTAGTGCTGCAAAGGCAGGGGTACTTGGCCTCACAAAAACCGTGGCAAGGGAATATGCGAGTAGGAATATTAATGTGAGTTTTCTAGATATGTTTCATTTCATCAATTGTTAGTCTTTCTTCTTCAATACGTTCACCAAAGCAAATTACCTACTTCTCCATGGGATGGGAGAGCACAGGTAACCTGTCCATCAACTTAGTTTTTATTTTTTTTCATCCTTTTCTTTAAGAGTATGTCCAAATCACTAATTTAATGCAACCACCAATGAGTTAACTGAATAGTCTTTATGATGTTATTGACCATCCATATAAACAGCATTGTTTGGTGCTTTTTGCCTCTTATGTGCTATACAAATTCTTATACCAGTTTCACATTTTACCCTATGCACAAGTCTCCCTTGTGTCTTTATCTCGTTTTTTCATTCATTCCATTACTATCCCTCATTATTGGGTTAGTCTTTCTTCTTTAATAGGTTCACCAAAGCAAATTACCTACTTCTCCATGGGATGGGAGAGCACAGGTAACCTGTCCATCAACTTAGTTTTTCTTTTTTTCATCCTTTTCTTTAAGAGTATGTCCAAATCACTAATTTAATGCAACCACCAATGAGTTAACTGAATAGTCTTTATGATGTTATTGACCATCCATATAAACAGCATTGTTTGGTGCTTTTTGCCTCTTATGTGCTATACAAATTCTTATACCAGTTTCACATTTTACCCTATGCACAAGTCTCCCATCTTCTGCACAAATATATTGCACCTACATGGTCTTAGCTATGTTTCTAACCATCTTTTGCCTGGCCATGCCGTAACTCTCACTCCTGCATTCTTATTCCTGATTGAAGGCAGTGCGACATGGTAGAGCTCTTGTGCGAGTATCATTCAACAGTAATCTGCAGAAGTCGGACTACATTATGGTAACGGCTGATTTATACCCTCAGAATCCAGTCCTCCGCCTTGGAAGTCAGCTCAACTTCAGCAGACGGGTAGTTGGGTAACTATTTTATCATTTTGAATATTTGCCATTGTTAAAATTTCTCTTCAGGTGCTCGCCACTGCATAATGTTAGCAGACCATGGGAACAATCCTCTGATCAGTTTTCTCAGTACCCAGCTACCATGTTATTGACAGCTGATCATGATGATCGGGTTGTGCCATTACACTCATTAAAGTTATTAGCGGTGAGTCTTTAATTGCTACAATTATGTTTTACTTCCTATGTTATTTGCTTTGATTTGCCCTGCATCTGAACATTGAATTGTCTAGTTTCTTGCTCAAGTTTTGTCAATGAGGTTCACCTCTTAAATGTTATAATATTTATCCACCTTCTTGTCAGGACATAAGAAGATAATAAATTGAATGGCTTAATCACAATATATGATTATCCTCGTGTGTATATATATATATACTGAATTGAGGAGGTTACAATTTAGGAAGGTAGAATAACAATAAAATCAAATATAAGGAAATATGCCTAAAATCCCGTAATTCAAATGCTATTTTTTTTTGTCTGAAATCTATACTAAACCATTGGAACAGCTTAGCTCAGCTAACTCTAATCCTTAAGTTGGATATGCCCAGTAGTTGTAGGAATGCCATCAAGGATTTATCCGTTGGGTTAAGCTTGAAAGCTCAAACATTGAGTGTTTATATTTAAGAGCTTCTTCCTTCCATGCTATTGGAGAATATAGAGAAGCGGTATTAGGGATTCTTTTTCTTGATTTTCCCATTTAAACTACTGGGCATCATGCTCAATTCTTCTTTGCTTTGGTTTACTAAATTTCATTTTATGATAAAGGTGAAGGATTATGATGATGCGTTGGATTTGGAACTGGACTCCATGGAAAAATTCGTGCTTCAATGCTTGGCCTTCGATCAGGTTTGATTTGATATTTGATATGTCGTATTTCTAAGCCACTGCGGGCATTGTTATGAAATTTTTCATAAGCCACCTCAGGCATTGTTATGAATTTTTTTAGCATCTATTGTGTGGTTGCAATCATGAAATAGATCAGATCTATTGTGTGGTTGCAATCATGAATCACATTTGCCCTTAGTTTTGCAAATTGTCTTATCTTTAGTGACAAAGTTTTTTGCAGCAATTCCTGGCACCATTGAGAATGGCATACCTATCGATAAAGGAAAATTATTAAAGTCATTCTAGAGTAATTTATGGAATTACTTATTTAGTAATGTTGACAAATGAGAAACCACATAACACTCTAAATGAGTTACATATGGAGAAAAAAGGGTATTAATGTTGTTGTGGTATAAAAGGAAACCATGGAACAGGTGTCAGAGAACAAATTTCCTTTCAATGCAGAAAATTACAAATTATATGAAGAAGTTGGAGAAGGTGTCAGCGCCACTGTTCATCGGGCTCTCTGCATTCCTTTGTGTTGACTGGGATTTGGGAATGTATCCTGCTCAAAATTGTCTTTGTTGTACATGAACCTATTATGATTAATTGAATACGAATCCCTATTCTGCAGTGTAATGACGTGTAATATGCTTGACTATTCCATTGCATCTGCATGTGCAAGCAAATGACTTAACCTATTTTTTCTTTTTATTTTTTGATTGTGTTTGTTGTTTGATTTTGGTTCAGACACAATCATGTAATGTTTATTTAGTCAATATATTGAAGTAGCTGTAAAATTTTATTCATATTATTGTTATTTTTCAGCTTTATTACAGGTATGTTTTTTAGTTAAATATAACAGATTTAGAACAATTTTTTTTTAAAAAAAAGAGCTATAATGGCGTTTTTTCAAAATGCCACTACAGTGCCAACGGATATTTTTTTAAAATAAAAAAATTGATCACGGCGTTTTAAAAACGTCGCTAAATATTGGATGACGTCATTTTATCATTATTTATTGCATTTAGCGGCGTTTTTAAAAACGCCGCCTATACTAATTTTACGACGTTTTTAAAGCGTCATAAACATATAGCGACGGCCGCGTCCTCGACGTTTGGTGATAAGCGTCACTAAAGGAAATAGCGGCGTTTTTTATACATTTAAAAACGCCGCTAAAAGTCATTTTTCCAGCAGTGAAATGGTCATGTAACATGAGTAGAAAAATGTTTCACTAAATCAATTTGGGCATTCACTTAATAATAGTATAGTAAGTATAGATATAGATAAAATATATAGAGTATTTTGGTCATTTCGTTTGAGCTTGTCTTTTGGACAAAGTGTTTCAGTGCCTGAATCTTTTAGTATATATAAAGTTGTCACGTAGCATGAGGAGAAGAATGTTTCACTAAACCAATTTAAGTATTCATTTAATAATAGTATAGTATATATACGTAGAGAGAGAGAGAGAGAGGGTATTTTGGTCATTTTATTTGAGTTTGTCCTTTTGGACAAAGTGTTTTAGCACCTAAATCTTTGGCCAAACAAAATTGTAATTTAGACTTGTGGACCAAGTGTCCTATATTTTTCTAAGTTACATTTTTGTAGTACAAAAAGTTAAAATTATCAAATGAATGTTTCTTTTTTTGTATTATAATTTAATATAATTTAAAATTATTATATATTTATTTAATATACTTTTTTATGGTACGATAGAGCTAAAATTATTAAAATATATGCAACTAATTTATTTAAAATTATTATATGTGTTGATTTATAAAACAATAGCACTAACATTGTCAAAATAAATAAATAAAATATTATTTTTCTTTAACTTATTTAAAATTATCAAATGAATGTTTCTTTTCACTCTCTACTGTAAAAAATGGAACGCTTAGGTTTTATGTTGCTATTAAAGAGAATTTTGAGTTGTGGGATCTCAAGTCTAAAAGGCCATTGCACCAGTGAGAGGTTGAAGAGCGGAGCAAAATCATAGATGTGTTAAGAGCAGCTCCTGCATTAAGAGTGGGTGTTAAGGATAAACCAAGGTGGTTAGCATCCTAAGCAGATCAATCATTTGTTGCAACTCTGTATAGAAAGTGTGAATTGGATTTTGGGGATTGTGTTAGTTCAAGTAGATTGGTGTGGATTAACTATCTTCCATCCAAAGTCCAATTCTTTGGGTGCCTAGCTTGGAAACATAAAGTTAAAAACTTCTATCTTTCTACAAAGAATTGGAGTTATGGATGAGAATGCATCTGCTTTGTGCATCTTTTGTAAATCGGAGGATGAGTCTGTTGATCATGTTCTCATTTCTTGCCCACTAGTTTGGAAGGTTTGGGTTGGTTTATTACAATGGTGGGGTGTGTTATGGGTTGTGTCGGGTTTAGTGGAGAGTTTGCTACAGTGGTGGACTGGAAATAATTTTAACAAAGTTGAGAGAAGAATCTGGAATGCACACTACAAGAAAAAACACTTTTGGCAACCACCTATTTTTTTTGGTCGCAAATAATCCACTTTCTGCGACTAAAATTTAACTTTTGGCGACCACAATTTTTTGGTCGTGGAAAATCACCTTTTGGCGACCAAAAAAAAAAGTTGGTCGCGGAAAGTATACTATTGGCGACCAAAGGCTTTTTTGGTCGCGGAAGATCACCTTTTGGCGACCAAAAAAAAAGTTGGTCACGAAAAGTATACCCTTTGGCGACCAAAAAAAAAGTTGGTCGCAGAAAGTATATTATTGGCGACCAAAGGCTTTTTTGGTCGCGGAAGATTACCCTTTTGCGACAAAAAAAAAAGTTGGTCGCGGAAAATATGCTATTGGAGACCAAAGGCTTTTTTGGTCGCGGAAGATCACCTTTTGGCGACCAAAAAAAAAAGTTGGTCGCGGAAAATATGCTATTGGAGACCAAAGGCTTTTTTTGTCGCGGAAGATTACCCTTTGGCGACCAAAAAAAAAAGTTGGTCGCGGAAAGTTATGGCAGGATAAATTTAAAAAAAAATGATACTACAGTAATTACATGCTATTTTTCTATTTAGGCATTAAAAGTTTTATAAAATAATATATAACCCAATTTTTATGGGTCATATATTTTTTTTGCCAAATATGAACAAGAAGTATGTTATTGGCAGAGTGGCAGAGTGGATTGGGTGCATGGTGACTCCTTGGTCAGGAGTTCAAGTCCCAGGGAGCACGAAAGAATTATTTTTTTTGGGTCAAGGAGCTGACTTTTGGCGACCAACTTATCTTTGGTCGCTAAAAGTTTACTTTTGGCTAATATGAATTGGACTTTCCGCGACCAAAAAAGTTGGTCACGAGTTTTTTTGGTCGCAGAAAACTATCTGTGACGAGGCTTTAGCGACCAACTCGCGACCAACATATTTTGGTCGCGAAAAGGTTTTAGCGACCAAATATGGTACTTTTCGCGACCAAAAATGTTGGTCACGGAAAGTGTTTTTCTTGTAGTGCAATTCCTCTGGTTGCCCTTTGGTCCATTTGGAATCATAAGAATGACTGCCTGTTTAATAATGTTCAACCTGATATGAGAGGAGCCGCATGAGGCAATTATTATCAGATTAGCTATATGGCTGAAAGCTGCAACTAAGGATTATCATTATACTATTAACGATTTTCTTTACAACATTATGCATATTAGATATTGTTTAGATGGAAGGGTATAATCCATGTTTGTTTTGGGAGTAGTAATGGGGTGTATTGAGATGGATCCTCTCTAACTCTTGGTGGAGCTTTTGGGAATGCACATGATTGATCTTGTTTTGGGTGCCAACATAGTTGGAATGCTTATCTTTAACAATGATACAACTTTCTCCAAGATATATTGTATACTTCTATTTTTAATAAAATTTCTTTAATTGCGGTTCAAAAAAAGAAAAAATTGTAGCGAATCTCCCTTTTTTTCTTTTTTCCTTTTTTATTCAAATTCTAGATCAATACCCTTACCAAAATTCTTTTTAAAATTTAATATTTAAAAGACTTTTACTTAATCTAATTACCCATAAACAAAACTTAATAGAATTATACATACTAAAAATATTTTACCAATTAATATTATTTTACTTTTTTCACTTTTTAAAAAAATTAATTATTAAAAATATTTATTTTTATAAAATTTATTATATATATTTATGTAAGTTACATTTTTATACGATAGAACTAAAATTATTAAAATACACATAAATAATTTATTTAAAATTAGTATGTGTGTTGATTTAAGTAACGTTTTTATGAAACAATACAACTAAAATTATTAAAGTAAATAATGAGAATCATTATTTAAATTTTAAACTATTGCTTCTTTTTTCCTCCAATTTAACGATTATTTTAAATATTTTATATATTAAAAAATATAAATAATTTAACTAAATTTTATATATATAAAAAATATTTTAAAACAAATATGTTTAGCTCGTGCATCACACGGGTTAACTACTTGTATATATAAAAGTAGTATTTTTCCCTTTCTTATGTGGCACATTCTAAATGCTTATTTTTTTTTTAAAAAAAAAAAAAAG